CAAGGTATATGGTGGCACTACCGACATGGAGTTAGATGTTGTTTTATGTTAAACTTTGTGCTTCCTTATGCCTTCATTATCTCATAGTATTCTTCTTCATGAAATTGCCGTCCAACGTAATGGATTAATTTCATAAACTCTTTTTCTCCATATGGATGTACTTCCGACATATGGATGAACCAGACTGCAATGGTTGCCAATGGTAGTAAATATGCTGCAGGAGTTAATCTCTATATTTATATCTCAATCAAGAGTAGGTCTTTAGGCAACGTGTGTCATAACCTTGGGCAATGATTTATGGTTGGGTCACGTTAGTCAATCTGATCTCATTGTAGTTGGTTTATGCTTTTGAGAGTGTGCGCGCCTTCCTTACCATCAAGTGAGCTTTCTTCCTCAGTCCTCAATTTGTCTGATTGTTATTTACTTTATCACTTTATAGTTGCCCTTATTCTGTTTGCTCCTCACTCACGTCATGAGAAATTTGTTGGGATTAATCGATGAAGTCTCAATTTCCTTGTGCCCTCACATGCATACTTGGATTGTTATTGAGGTTATGATTAAGTTTAGCTCCCCCTTTCCTCCGTCTTGAAAATTCTCCCCCATTCTCTCTTTCATCCCAAGCCCTTGCTTTATGTGATCATGCTATATCAGTGCTTTTTGAAAGTTAAGAATTAGGATGAGTTGTTGTATTTTATTGTCAAGAAATATGTGAATTCAGCATTATATAACAAGACTTTCCCACGGCAATTCCTATAGTGATGCAGGACCTCTGAGGGGAATGGAAGAAAGCTACAAAAAGATAATGGGAGTTTTTTTTGGGGGGGGGGGTGAGGATTTTTAGAGATCCTGAGGTGAGAGTGGAGGGAAATGATAAAGTTATAGGGCTAGTCACCTGGTAAGCCTAGATTTTTAAGGTATGAATGTTATGCCCACTGAATTCCACTTGGATATTAAAGTTCTGTGCTTTTGGAAGTTTATCGGCATTTGACTATTGTGAACTACCAACAGATTCGTAGGCTCTGTAATATATTTTAAGCGGGGGATTGATGGGATTTGAGAAGAAATAATTATGGTTTTATTATATTTCTAGAATATTTGAATTATCTGGATTTATTATCATTTTAGGATATATTTAGATTTATTGATATTTTAGTATTTTATTATTACGATTAGTTGTTGTTATTTTCATTTTCATGATTCTTTTAGTAGTAGATCTAGTTTTCATTCTACAGAAGACTAGACTTGGATATTGAATTTAGAAACGGTTATTTCCCTTCTTAGTTTCCCTCTTCTCTGCTCTCCCTTCTCTCTGACCTCATCCCTTCCCATTTCTCTCGTTCGTTTTACACCGGGGGTCGATACTGATGCTACCTCTAGTTCTAATTATAAGAGTTAGTTGACTAATTTAAGGAGATTAAGGAAGTAAGTTGAGTTAGTTATTTGTCCTAAATAGATGTTGCTTTCAACTTTCAAATTCAACAAGTATATACTTCATGTATCTCTCTGTTTGTGGGAGGATTTTAATGTAAGAGCTTTTGCACTTTTATTTTTCTAACAATTTATATGTTCATGATAATGGCACAGGGCTATCATGGTTGCCTGGTTATGCATGTTCGCGGGATCTTTTCCATTGAATGAATAAATATGTTATGTAATAATGGCGGTGGCTAAATATTTACAAGTCTTTCCATTGTAATAGGTTTGCGGAGAGAATTTGTTTCATCTGAGTTTGACCCATCAAACGTTTTATATATTGGGCTTCATGGAAAGTACAAGAAATGCAAGTGCTCCCGTCTATCAATTGTCGAGGGCCATATTGAATTGCTTATGACGTTGAATGGGCTGTCTTCCCGTTGGAAACAATTTATTTGAATTGGTTTGAGTGCTTTAATCTTCATGAATTTTGGATGCGGTAAGCCGGTGGGTCCAACTTCTATGTGTTGGGATAGGAATTAGGATGCGGCTACCTCCTTAACCTTTCTAGTTGGCATCACGTACCACTGAAAAATGCTATGTGGTTCTAAAATTTTAGTTTTATCAACTAATTAAATAACTTTCATGTATCAGTTATTATTATTGTACTGAAATTCCAATTGGTCACATAATTGGACGATGGACATCAATTAGTAAGCACTGTGCATTAAGTTTTAGTGTTAGAGGATTATATGAAAGTAACTAAAACGATTTATATTTGAGTAATCGAAATCATATTAACGAATATCTAAATCTCTATTGCCAGTAATACTACTGTGGATGTGGAATGCAGCAGATATGCAGAATTGAATAAACTTACAATCCATATGCGAAAAATTCTGACATTGCACTTTCCAAGGGATTTATGGTTTTTGTCTCGTGTATAATTTTTGACGCTCTTTGGCATTCCGCTCACAAATTTATCGCGTGTAAATTTTCACGAGTAAATGCTGGATCTCAACAAAAGTATGTAAACGACAACGACGACCTTCTGGAAGCAAAACTTCTTCGATTCTAGTTTTTTTTGTTTTAACCAGAAAATCAAGATTTTATTATCACGAAAAAAATCGGAAAAGTGATACATCACAACTTATTCAGAGTTAAACTGAAACAGTGCAAAACGAAGCAAAAAAAAAAGAAGAAATTGTTTAAAACACAAAGGCACAAATCAGTCGATGCGCATTCAGTTTCTATTTTTTTTGAACAAAAAGGAAAAATTAGTTTGGAGGTCTTTATAACTGGCATTAGTTTTGAATCAGGTCTTCAAACTTTTTTTTTTCCTTTCCCTTTTTGTTGGATTTTTTAACTTTCTCCTGTTTATACAATTAGTCCTTAACATTATTAAATATGAATAAACACTGTCAAGAATTTCTGTCACTTCTTCTCCGTCCTCACCGGGTTCCACTGACCTCACTGTCCCTTCTCACCTTTTCGGCCATGTCCTGTCTCCTAAGAAGCAAAGAGGCTCATGATTCTGACGATGTGAGTCCAAGCAGGAGCTCATTCATCAAACCCCTGAAAACCTCCCATTCCAGCTGCATCCCCACTTGTTCATTTGATATATTGGTCTTGCCCATGATATTCTCATTACTCCGCTGAATAAGAACCCCCGGCTTCTCTCATTACTCCGCTGCTCTGACCGTGTAGTCTTGCTTCTCCAGATCATCACTTTGCCATGATATTCTAGTCCTCCACGCTACAGCTAAATGGCTTTTAAAAGGGTCATGGCACAGCTCTCACTCTTTTATCCAGGCTTCTCAGCAGCCATCTCTCCATCGTCTTGTCTTCTCGACTCTGTTTCTCGCTCCTTCCATCACTCCCTTTGATTCTGTTCCCGGCTGTTTCTCGGGTACTGTTATCATACTCCTTCACTCTATTACTAAATGAAGACTGATTCTGTTTTCTCTGACATTTTTTCTTGATTCAAGAATTTTATTCTGCCAAAGGAGATGAGATTTTGTTCTAGTTCATGAAAAATCTTGTGAACTTTTTTTTGTTCTATGGTACGGTTTTAATTGGCAGATGCATTCGACTTTTATTTGCTCCACCGAGGAATTTGTCGCACACTGGATCAATTCATTGACAATCCAGTTGTCGGGACACCTTGCCGCATTAGAGCAGGTTCAAGGGGAGGATGGGATGTGAAGGACGATGAGGATAGGTGGATGGTAGGGAAGAAGATGATGTAACAAAAATTTTAACGGTGTATATTTTCACTTAATGGTAAGCACGGTTAAATGATCCAATGAAAAGGAGAAAAAACTTAAGAGCTTAATTTAAGATTGATGCAAATTATAAGAACTTGTAAATTAGTTTTTTGGGAAAAAAAAAATCTTAGTTACAAGTTACTATCTCTAGTTCTTAATATAAGACTTTATTTAATTTTTATTTTGGTCCTAAATATAAGACTTTAATCCACTTTATCTCTCATATTTATACAATTTTTTTGCAAAATAGTTCTTCTAACAATATTAATTCTAGCCAATATACTTGATTAGCAAGGATATTTTAGGAAAGACAATACCTATTTATTATAAATAACTAACTTAACTTCTTTATTTAATCTCTTTAAATTAGTTAACTAGCTTTTATAATTAGGACCAGAGATAATATTTTTTTAGACCAAGCATCAATCATTTAAGCAAATGTATCTTTTAATTAAAGGCAATTTGTATTAGGCATTATATTTGAATATTTCTCCTAGCAGGAATTTGAATTTTAGTTCATTGTTTTGAAAACTAACTTTTAAGAAAACTAATAATTTTTTCTTAAATATTAGTGTTAACTTAATAATAAGTAGTAGGATCAATATTGGCATTTGGAGATTTCCCAATAACAGTCCGGCCAATGAAGGATCAGTGACCTGTGCGATAGCTGAAAGGTGAAAGGGCCAATCGGGGCTAATTTATCTTTTCACGCATTTTTTAAATCATACTTAAATCTCTTGGCCGGTTCGCCCGTTTGGTCTGTTAATTAAAAAATTATATAATATGTCTTCGATAAAACATCTCATACTGTGTACTAAAAAAAAAAAATCTTATATTGTGCAATAGAGAATGTTGGAAGCTTTTATCATAAGATCTTGAGTGAGCAATTAACTTTCTTATGTATAACCTATTCACCACTTTGATTCTCAATATTTGTTTACACAAAAAAGTTTATCCTTGCTTTTAGCGTGTGTCGATATGCCTCTGCAATTGACTATTTAGCCCTTGAATCGAATTTCTGCATATGGTCAATCTGTCTATTTACTGTTGTCATCCTCCTTGGTGAAAACAAAATAATGAAGCAAAGTAACAAGGTGGGTTCACTCGTAAACTGTTATTTCTAAATTCTGAGTTGCTTTTCCAAGTTTAAAGCATTGCACCCCTGCTATTTGCTACTCTGTGTGAAGTCCATGAAATGAGGAAATCTCATTAAATTTGCTCATTTCTATAAATAAAAAAGCATGACTTGGGATTTGGGAACAAGTTGAACTGTTGAAGGGAGGAGGCTGAGATGGGATGTGGAGTCCTGATCCTGCCAGCTACTAATGTCAACGATGATGCCTCTTAAATAAATGAAGCCAGTGCGGCGATTCTCTCTCTCCCTCCCTTCCCCCCCCCCCCCTCCCTGCCTTGTATCGACTATCGACCCAATCTTCCATTTCCACCTAACCGTCATCTTCTCCATCAACAAAATCTGTATCTCTCTCCTTCCCTCACTCGGATGACAGAGATCACTCACCTGAGCTCACACCTCATCGAGCTCATCCTCTCCTTTCTTCCTATCCCCTCTCTCATTCGCGCATCCACTGTCTGCAAGCTCTGGTACTCCATTATCTCCTCCCCCACCTTCTCTTCCATTACCCACCCTCGCTCCCCCCATAACCAACCCTGGTTCTTCCTCTACGGCTTCCACAACATCTCCTCTAAGAACAATCAGTCCTTTGCCTTCGACCCCGTCTCCTATCGTTGGCTCCGCCTTCCCACCTTCTCCGCCCTCCAGCCCCAACAGCAATCCATCACTTCCTTCATCGGAACTAATGGCTTTTTCTTCACTACTGCTCCCAAATTCTGTTACGCTCGAACCCTTAATCCTCTCTGGCGTGCCACTCCTCCGCTCCATTTTCCCCGGACTAACCCTCTTTTGGGTGTTTTCACTGATGGCAGTGATTCCTCCCCTAAGTTTATTGTTGTCGGTGGCGTGAAGTTTATCGGGAATTTGGTTGACATTGAGGAGCGATTAGATTTGGAAATTTACGATCCTCGTTCCGACTCTTGGGAGCTTGGTCCTCCTTTGCCGGCGGATTTTAGATCTGGCAATTCGTCGTCGTCGTTGTCGTCGGCGTTGTTTGGAGGGAGATTTTACGTGCTTGGGATATCTTCGTGCTTTATTTCCTCATTTGATTTGCGTGAACGTGTTTGGAGTCAGGTTCAGACGCTTAGGCCTCCTGAGGTTGTTTTCTCGTTCTTAATTGCGTGCAGGGAAGTGCTTGTTTTGGCTGGTATTCGTAACGCACCTCTTGGACCGTCCTTTAATTTGTGGAAGGTCGATACAAAGACGATGGAGTTAAGTGAGATTTCAGTGATGCCCCATAGTTTACTTTACAGCTTGTTTGATAGTGATGAGGACGACAACTTTGCAAGCCTGAAATGCGTGGGGTTGGGGGATTTTATATATGTTTTCAATGAAGATTATCACAGGGTATATCCAGCTTGTCTTTGTGAGATTGATAGCAAGTCTGGCAGGTGCAATTGGAGAGGAGTGCCCCCTTTGCCATTACCTGTGAACAAGTTTCACAAGGTCACTAGCTTTTGTTCAACTGTTTCACTGCATAGTATTCTGGGTGAACGAGGACATCCTGCCCTTCTGCAGTCGGCCTGACTGTTCATTCCTCTACCGCGGATCCATCGTATGTTAACCATCCTTCCTATAGTATTACTATCATTATGTTTTTGGGGCAGATTATTTCCTCCCGCTTATTTATCTGAATTAGCTGTTTAATTTGAATCTATTTTTGTTTAAAGTACAAGCTTCGTGTTTGCTGTGATCATGAATAACTTCGCACTTCTAATCATGCTATCTTAAGTGATAAGAACCTCATGGTCCTGTGCGTATCATATTTTATATTTATATCACATACTGCAACTTAGAGATAAAGTCAAGTGTTTCGGCTAGTCAAATAGATGCGAGCCACTTATCTGGCGTCCTCTTTAAATAGAGGTTGATGCGTCATAGAGAGAGTGAAAAAATCTTATCACAAGTCAGAGAAGATATTTTGCTCAGTAGGATAAGGCTTGTTTAAGGCTTGTTGTCGTTGTTGTAAGTCATAGAAGATATTGTCAAGTTTATGTTTTCTTGAGGAACTGGTAGTGTTTTAGAAGGATGTTATTGGTTGGGTCCAAGACAACCAGAAGGAGGATATTTGAAGGTATTGTTTTCTTGGCTAAACTTCATCTAGGGACAGTACATTGCTTAATGGACTTGTTTCTTTTGTGGAATGAGATTTAGGGTCCTTTTCAAATTGAATTTGTTGTGAAGTATTATATCTTGTCAGTCTTATATTGGTAATTGAATAATCTATGTACTTCCTGCCCTTCTGGAGTCGGCCTGACTGTTCATTCCTCTACCACGGATCCACTTATGTTAAACATCCTTCCTATAGTATTACTATCATTATGTTTTTGGGGCAGAATATTTCATCTCGCTTATTTATCTGAATTAGCTGTTTAATTTGAATCTATTTTTGTTTAAAGTACAAGCTTCGTGTTTGTTGTGATCATGAATAACTTCGCACTTCTAATCGTGCTATCTTAAGTGATAAGTACCTCATGGGTCCTGTGCGTATCATATTTTATATTTATATCACATACTGCAACTTAGAGATAAAGTCAAGTGTTTCGGCTAATCAAATAGATGCGAGCCACTTATCTGGCGTCCTCTTTAAACAGAGGTTGATGCGTCATAGAGAGAGTGAAAAAATCTTATCACAAGTCAGAGAAGATATTTTGCTCAGTAGGATAAGGCTTGTTTAAGGCTTGTTGTCGTTGTTGTAAGTCATAGAAGATATTGTCATGGTTATGTTTTCTTGAGGAACTGGTAGTGTTTTAGAAGGATGTTATTGGTTGGGTCCAAGACAACCAGAAGGAGGGTATTTGAAGGTATTGTTTTCTTGGCTAAACTTCATCTAGAGACAGTACATTGCTTAATGGACTTGTTTCTTTTGTGGAATGAGATTTAGGGTCCTTTTCAAAGTGAATTTGTTGTGAAGTATTATATCTTGTCAGTCTTATATTGGTAATTGAATAATCTATGTACTTCCATGAGTGCTTTTGGAGGAAAAACATGTTCTCAGGTCCATGTTGACATTAGTAGCAATTTGAGATTTAAGCAGTTATTAATGGCCCACAGCCACGTTTTCTATGTGTGTATATTTTCTTCATTTTACACGGAATATGTCTATGCGTTGTCCCCACGGGAAAAGAATGCTCATAAAACATGAGGCAGTATTGGGACGAAATAGTTTTCATCTTGAGAAACATGTTATCTATTTCATCTTTCATCATTTTTTGCTGGTTGTGGGTCAACAATATTGGTGCCACTAAATCCATGGCAGGCATATTCGGCAGCATACCTTTGATAAAATATTTAAAAAAGTGCATGTTTATGTTATGATTGCAATGTATTAACAGAGTAGTCAGAAGTTTATAATTAAGTAAAAGGTTTTATAGTTTTGTCTGTATTTGACTTCGTCCTTTCTCTTCCCTAACTAAACAATCATCTGCAAAATCTTGGTATCTCCTTGATACCGAAAGTCATGGGAATTACTTGCGTTAATAGAGAGCCTGAGGAGTCAGAGACATGATTCATGTTTTCATACTAGTTCCAATGTGGTCGCTATTGAATCTTTGTTCTTCTACTAGAAGGCAAGAGGCATGAAGTGCATTTTCCCTATCTTCTTTTTTTCACTTTTCTGTGTATTGTATAATTTATTGAGGAGACCTACCTCTCTGTTATTGATTCACTGATGGCGTCTGATTCCGTGCTTTCAACAGAAAAAATTATGAAGCAATTCCTTGGGCAAACACCCAAGCATGGGTTGGGATAGCCATATGCTCAAGAATATATAGATGCCTGCTACTCCAACCTTGTTCACTGTTCATTCTCATCTCACGAGTCCGGAAGCTCTCTTTCAACAATATATACAGTGGATGAAACCAGAGTTGCGTTTGTATATGCCTTGTCTGTCTGGGAAATAAATGGCTATTATTAGTGTTCTTAACTGGTATGTAAATGTAATTTAGCAAGTGAATTATATTAGTTGTAAATTACGATGTTGGGCTATTATGTTTACAGTATTAGCAGTGTTTTTATTTCTTTCTTTCCAAGCAACTTGGCAAGCTTAGCTAGGTGAAGGTTCTGCCTATGGTAAACTTCTGTAATGTTTTGAATTACTTAATTGCATGTAGAAACATTGTGTATCCATGTGTTTTTCGTAGCAAGCAAATTGATGTATGACCGGTCAGCTGAGGTCTTTTGCACGATAAAGTTAGTCGTCCTGCGTGTGGATTCTTCGGTTTATAAATTGAAGATGCAAATGAACGCATGGCCTGGTGAATTGAAGCACACATGGGTTCAGGGAGATTAATGGAACATTTTGTCCGAGTGACCTTGTTTGGATAATGGCGAGTTAAAAACATCCTTGCCAATCACCAAGGAAGAGGTGGTTGCGTTGTGCAGGATGAGAGCACTCATTTGTTTTCTGTTATTACTACTTGCAGTTTTTAATATAAAAGTTTTTTATATTTATTTTAATCTTAAATATAAGATTTAAATTTATTTTGTCTATCATATTTATCTATTTTTTTAAGGTAGTTTTTATAATAGTTATAGTTTTAACCAATATACTTAATTAATAAAGACATTTTAGAAAAAATAATACTTATTTACTACAAATAACTAACTTAATTAATTTTTTTAATCTAATTAAATTAGTCAATTAGTTCTTATATTAAGAATTGAAAGTAATATAAAAATTAGTTTAACATTTGATCTGGTTTTAAATATAAAATTCTAATTTATTTTATTTTTTATATTTATTTATTTATTTTTTCAAAGTAATTATTATAATAGTTGCATGCGGCTGATATATATAATTAGTAAGAGTGTTTAAGAAAATAAAGAGTGTTTAAGGAAATAACTAACCAAATTAATTTTCTTAATTTACTTTAATTAATTAGCTTTTATATTAATGATTGGGGGTGGTATTACGTGCAGTTCTAAATACAATGGTTAATTGACTAATTTAAATAGATTAAAAAAATAAGTTAAGTTAGTTATTTGTAATAAATAGGTGTTATTTTTTCTAAAATATCCTTACTAATCAAGTGGATTGGTTAAAATTATAATTATTAGAATGACTATCGTGAAAAAAAATCCATAAATATGAGAGATAAAGTGGATTAGGATCTTATATTTAGTATTAAAATAAAAATTAAATGAGATATTATATTAATGATAGATGGTAGTGTATTTGTGCCGCTAGTGTTGCATCTGTATCTGCAACGATGAGGTCCTGCTTAGCAAAATGTAACGGCCAATCCCCTTTACGTCATGAACTGTAGTAGTCTTTAAGTGTACATGCGGTGTGGTAAATCCAATCTCTTCAGCGCCACGAGAGAGGAAGAAACCTTCCGAAAGCACCTGCAAGTTTCAAGAACAAGACCAAGCACAAAGAATCGAACCAATTATTGTGAATTTGCGGTCATTAACAATTATAACCATATCTGGCATCCGCCTCTGCAAAGCATCCACGTAGATGGACACTTTTGCTTGCTTGCAGCTTCGAAAGCAACAAATGAATATGGTTTCATGATGGGACCCTCTCAGGCCTTTTCTCTCCGTTTTCGGCGTCCCACCTCAGCCAAGCTCTCATGCTCTTTACAACACTTGCCGTTCATAGATCCGTCACACACATGAAACACTGCGGCCAGGTCCAACGCTGCCGTTTTGGGCGCAAAATGAGGGGAGTTGATTTTTGTTTTTTGTTTTTGTTTTGAAGTATTTTTTTTTCAATAGGATGGATTGTTTTAAAATAATTTTTAGTACACTTACCACACTAAAAGATTTTTAAGAAACATCTTGCATCCTAAAATAATTTTTTTATACTTAACATACTAGAATATTTTTCAATAGCATTCAGTATCCAATATTTACCTTAAAATATTTTTTTAGTAACATCAGTATCCTAAAATATATTTCTTAGTAGAAAAGCACCCTAAATCCAGGACACTATTTGCTACTTCAAAAATACTTTTTAGGTAAAAACTAATTTATGATATTGGATGTAACTAAAAATATTTTATGATGTTCAGTGTAACAAAAATTATCTTAGGGCATTAGATGCTCTTAAAAAAATATTTTAGTGTGTTGAGTACACCACTAAACGTATTGGATGCTTTTGAAAAAAATATTTTAGGGTGTTTAGTATCTCAAAAATTATTGTAGGATATTGTATACTTCTGAAAAAATATTCTAGGATGCTGAGTTTTTTTTTTTGGCCATTCAAGAGGCTCCTGAGAGAAATGTTCTAGCTTGCTAAGAGTATCAAAAATTATTTTTGGTTGCTAAGTGTACTAAAAATTATTATAACATCCTAGATGGTATTAAAAAAAATTTTAGGATGCTGAATATAAAAAAATTAGTTTAAAATGCAAAGTGCTTCTAAAAAATCTTTTTATGTGTTAACTATACTAAAAATTATTTTGGAATATCAAATGTTACTAAAAAAAACCTTCAAAATAAAAGATAAAAAAAAAAAAAGCAGCATTCGGCCCCTCGTTTTGCGTTTTGGGCAGAGGAGGAGATCTGGTGGCGGAGAGAAGCCAGGTTCGGAGAGACGCGTTGTACCGTCCCCACTCGGCAAGTTTCAATACCCTCGTAGTGGTGGACAGAAACAGCATGCGATTGGATTTTAACAAGGCTTGGCTGTGTGGCTTTTTTGGGAATTCCAATCCTATTCCGTCGTGAATCATGGTGCGCGTTGAGGCTCTTGGCAGTTGGCATTCGCGCCAAAGATGACCAAGTAAAAGGCAAGAAATTTTGATGCCATTCTTCAAATTTGCTCTAGTTTTTGTTTGGAAATCCACCTTAAAAGGTGTTTGGATAAGATCAAAATCATAGTTGTAGAAATGGTTTTACGGTATACGAAGTAAATATATGGAGGAATTTACTTCGATTTACAGAAAAGTACTTTTGAAAAGTAATTATTGGGTATCCAAACATAGTTTTAGGATACTAAAATTTCAAATTGATCAACTAAATATTCTTAAGTCAATTTAAGAAATGTTTGAATACCAACAAAACCATAGTTTTAAAAATAATGTTAAAATATAGAAAGCAAGTACTCATCTGGTCCTATTTATAAGGTACTTCTAACATATTTTACACAGATCAAGAAAAATCTTAAACTACATTAACTCTTCATTAAAATATAATAACTTTTCAACTTTACCCCTATTTAATATATACTTCTTTCAAAAAAAAATAGCTACCTACACTATAATATATAAAGAATAATATGGTACATTCATGGTAAAAATTTAATGAAGTGACTTATAAATATGACTAAAAAAACCTTCTCTATCTACTCTATAAATAGGACCAGAGGAGTACATAATAAGAGTTTTATCTCGATTTGCATAAAAAGTAGGGAAGTCCAACACCCCCAGGTAATTAATTTGGGATTTTGTGAATGTTTTATGTTTACAACGTTGCCCCCCAATTTGTTTTTTTTTTTTCAAAGCCACCTCTTTTTTCACCGTCCCTTGATGCCATCTCAGCTGGCAACTTGTGGATCTTTAATACTAGCGCCCATGGCAATTTTATTACAAAACTTTTGTTGTAAATAACTAATAGGGATTTGTGAATAGTTAAATTTAACTTGTTAATGTCTAAATTTACCTTGTAATTACAGGTTTGAAGAATACCAATTTTGCATAAAAATTTTGTTGGGAATAATTAATGAGAACTTGTGAATTATTGAAGGGAAAAAGATTAAAAAAAACCCTTAAATATATAAAATTTCATATCAAGATTAGTGAAAAGCAGGATCTCATATCAAAGCAGGGGTATTGATTTGCTCTTTTCAAATGTTGGCAAAAGAAAAGCATGCCCTTGATAAATCGACAAAAGGAAAGATAATACAGAAAATAAGTTAGAATAGTCTATTTGTATAAATGTATTGTCAATTGATATGAAAAAGTTGCCAACACACTTAATAAAGGGACAACATGTGATTTGTCAAAGTTTCTCAATTGGTTTAACCTGTAATGAATTTTGTTGATTACTTGTTGTCAATATATTTAAAAGAGTTGTCAATGGTTCTAACTAGTTGGCAGCAATTAATTTGCCCAAGTTTGCCAATTAGTTTGCCCTGTAATAAAATTTCTTAATTACTTGTTGTTGATATATATAAAAGTATTGTCAATCTATTTCGAAAAGTTGGCAATGCACCCAACAAAGTTGTACTGATTTTTTCTAATTATTTGTTTTTATACATAAAAAAAGTGTTGTTAATTTATTTGAAAAAGTCGTCAACTAGCCTAACAAAGTTGTTAATCTATTTATGTGATGGCAATTGGCGCGCTTCGTTACAAATTTTCCACATTACTTGTAGTGAATACGTATAAAAGTGTTGTTAACCAATAAACATTACACAATTCAAGTGGTGTTTTTCAAATATAAGTAAGCACCAGATACATAGTTGTCAAAAAGTTTAATAAAGTAGTAAACACCTAATTCATATATTATCATCACATAATCCAACCAACAACAATCTTGCTCACTGCTTGGACTAGTGCTACCACTTTGTTGCTTTTTTCTTTGTTCAAGCAACTTCAAAGCTTTAACCCTATTTTTTTTTGTCACAAAAGAATGAGTCAAAGTTTCCGTCAATTAGACCACACCATCTTCAACAAGGCGTTTAGATTTGCAAACTCACTTCGTTATATATTTATACATATATATATATATATATATCTCTTCATCATCTTAATGATTCCTTAGAGCATAGCTTAGGCCAACCCAAAAACAATAAAGACCAGCTAATCTTTATGGAGATTAGGCGCTCCTTCCTATTTCTTAATCATCAAGATGATTATTCATTCTTCTACAACTTGTATTCTGAGATAAATTCTGGTTCCAGCATGAACAACAAAAGGAAGATTTCCAGTTTGTTGATTCTATCCTACGACAAAATCGATTGGTGACTCTTAGAAGCTACCTTAGAGTCTTTTCTGCATCAGAGAGGATGACGAAGATGACAAGAAGCAGCTAGAGAAAAAGGAAGCCATGGATTTTGATTGAAACAAATCCATGTTTGAGGGTAACTATAAGCAGCAAGCTCAAACTATGATTAACTATTACGTGCAGCTTTAGGACCCTTACGCCGATATGAATGAGTTCCACTATTTGGGAACCAAAAGAGCTCATTATCATTCGACCTTTGCCTTTGTTTTTGACAAT